GTTAGGTATTCTCTTAAGGATTAAAAATCACATTGATCTGCACTAAAAACATAAAGAAATTCATTTTTTAAAAATGCATTGTTTTAAACCAATTTTAATTTACATTAATTTGTGAATTTAAAACATAAGGTTATATTAGCTATGCAGCGAATACAGATATGCTGTACAATTCCTATTAATTTAATGGGAGTTGTGACTCCCATTAAATTTAATAGGAGTCATACGGCCTAATCCCCAAGCACCTTACTGAAAATTTACCTCCTAGCCTTCGACTAATCAAATATACTGAAATGAACAAAAATAGTCAATTTTGCTAGACTGGGAAATCTAAAATCCCTACAGTAAGTTAATTCAGCATTATCATAGCAGTAGCCTTGTAGCTATTCCCAACAAAGAAAAGAACAAGGTTATCACAATGAAAAGAGACAAACTGAAGGAAAGGTTTAGGAGCTCTGAAATTGTCACAATTATCCTTAACAGAAAATATGTTGTTTTATCCAATCTGGAGCCAGTTTTTAATTTTGTTTTTTTCTTTCTTAGTACAGTCAAAAAAGAGTAACAAAATAATCCTTTTTTTTTTGATGACTAAAATTATACCCAAGTAGCTTGATCAAAGGAATAAAAAGCTATATGAAAAGGTATAGATAGTAACCCCCAGCAAACAACTGGTTCCTACTTCTGAGTCAATGAATTAAACCATAATGTTTTTCAAAAAAGCTTTTTAAAGTTACTTTATATCCACACCCATGTACTCCAACACCTCACCTCATCTACCTGCACACATACAATACTACAGTGCTTGTGTGAAGCTGAGCAACATCTGTGTCATCCCAGAAATTTGTCAGAATGCAAAAGCTTGGGCCCCACCCCCGACCTTCTAGGTAATTCTGCTGCTCCTCAAGTTGGAGACCTACTGCAACATTTTATTCCTCATCCATGCTGTTTTCTCTCCACTGATTTTTTTCCTCACCACCATGCTCACTCACCACTGTCTTAATCTAACTTATTCAACTTCTACTGAGATTCAGCTCAAGCATCATCATCACTTCTAGGTGGAAGTCTTTCCTGAAATACACTCACACCTAACTCAACCACCCTTCACTCCAATACCTCTGTGAATATCAGCATCATGGCACTTGTGGCCCTATTATTGCAACTGCTTATTGTCCCCTCTCTAACTATTTAAGATCATGACCTTCATCAAAGATTTATGTTATTTATGTGATGAATATAAAATGAGTGCTTATCGTAAACCAGGCATTATTCTAGGCACTTGGGCATATCAGTGATGGGGAAAAAAATATCTTTGCCTTTGTGAAGCTGAAGCTGACATTCTATGCGTACTGTGTATGTGTCTATATGTGCATGTGTGTGCAAATATAAATTTTATACACATTTATTGTGTGTATAAATAAAAGAATGAAAGAAAAAAGAATAAATGAATATGTCTGAATTATTTTAATCCTTAAGTTTAACTTTGGAGAACAAAGTTACTATTTCTTCCAGTAAATTATAGACCATTCTGAAGGAAATATATGCCAAAAACTTATTTCTAATTCATATTTACCCCTTAGATCTACTTTTATCTGCCACATAACTAGCAAAAAGATGCTACAGCCAAATATCCTTTTTAGTAAGATATCATTAACATAAAAGTCATTATAAAATGTGCTTAAAAAATTTAAAAATACATGAAAAACTGTTTTTCTATAGCTATGTTCTAAAATTTTCTTGATGTGTATAAAATAAATATGTAATGCTGTATCTAAAATATCTGGCACTTATACCTGGCATAATGTTTTTCTTTAAAATAAGGATAAGCAACAATGTAATTTGAGATAATTAACTAAAATTTTGACTAATGAAATCTAATTACATACTTACTGCATAAAGAATTCAACCTGAAATCTATTTTACTGACTTTGCTGAAGAACTGCTATTATTTGTAACTTGTCACTTGAGCAAGCCTTCATATGTCTGACTTATGCTTTCCAGGGCTCCATTACATACCATAATTTAATTCTCTAGGACACAAAAATTCAATTTACTTTCCTACTTACTGATACATGATTCCACAGTGGGTTACTATGCTTATAAAAATCGGCCAAAAGAATCAAAACACACCAGCTTCTCAACAAAACTGATTTTTGAAGGGCTTGAGGTCAGTTCTCCAAGAATAAAATCAATTCTAAGAAAAATTTACAAAATATTTTGAAAGTTTGGTCTTTTATAATCATTTTTTATTTGGAAATTCAAAACATAATTTTCAAAAATACACAGGGGAGGAGAGACTTTAAGAGTAAGTAAAACATTGTTCCTATTTTTCAAAAGCAAGTAAATTTTAATGGTAAGGCTTGATTCTTAAAGAACTGGAAGAGATATAGAGGGAGATGAGCTAATTCTAACAATTAAAACTTTATATACGTAATTAGCTTTTACCACAGTAAAACATAAAAATGCTTAATGATTTGCTCTCGTATACACACAAAACATGATGTATTTATAATGTTCATCTGAACATAGAATAAGTCCTTCTTGCAAATGTGGAAATTTACTTCTCATATGTATAGATGTAAAACAAATCCAAAATTATGTTGTCTTTAAAATCACACACTAAAGTAAAAGACTACTGTAAATGGGGGTAGGGAGAGGGTGCTCTGAAAAAGAAAGCATGGTTCATAGATGAATACAATACAAAGGCTTGTTATGTCTTAAAAAAATTAGTTGCTATTACTTAAAAATGTAATGTCTGGTTTGTATTGTAAAGCCAGAAAACTGGCAAAACCGGGCTAAATACTGGAATGGCAATCATGGGTCTTCCAGCAAGCACTTTCCTGTCTGCTGCATCCATGGGCCTGCTACATACACTCAAGTTACTTTGTTTGCTTGGCCTCAAAGATTTCAAGCCCTGCACACGACAATGAGCTCAAGAGCAGAAACTGTGCCTGGTGCATTTTTGAATCCTAAGCACCTGGCTCAATTTAGTCACTTAGTAGATGAGGAAGGAGGGAGGAAACCACCTAAGAAACCTATTCTAAGTTTATCTGTAACAATCCAAGTACTAATATAAAAAGTGCTCATCTCTATAAGATTTGAAAAGGTAACAATCACATGAGGGCCCGGCAGAAACTTAATGGCTAAATGGTTAAATTTATATTTTCTTGCCTGTGCTTTCATACCTAACTTTGATTGGTTTTTCTCTATGGGTGTTCACAAAGCATTACGCTTTCTGGCAATGAGGGACTATCATGTCATATAAAACTTTGCTAAGACAAAACCATGTGATGGTGGAACAGTGTGCATTAACTGTGTATACTCCCATAACGAGCAGTGTGGGTTCATCCAAGGCTCTTTTTACCTGTAGGAGGGAACTGCTTCAAAAGCAACACCCCCTGGCCCCTGGCCTGATGCGCCAAAAATGAAATTTCTCTTAACAGCAGATATGAATTCTGACCTGATAGGCGACACTAGAAATAAAACTGCAGTATCTCATGAAGAAGTCTCTGTTTGCTAACCCCCTTCTGGGTTAAGCTACTGTGCTAGCAAAGTGGTCTCGATCTTGATTGGAAAATTTTTCATTATGTGGACTAATAAGCCATTGGTCCACACCTGGAATCTTTTTTTAAATATAAAAACAT